CTGGATGTACCCCTAAACGTAGGGGTACCCCCTTAAATCATACACCCCCTGGTAGCCCTGATCTGGGTGAACAACATATCCAAAAATCACCCAGATCAGACCAGGGGTTCGGGAAATTTATGAAGGGAATAAATAAAGGACTCGGTCCTGGAGTCAGGGAATTAATGGTTCGAAAACCTCTAGCTATAGAGGCTAGGGAGGGTTCGCCTGAATCCCCTCGTTCGGTTCTTTCTGTCTACTGAACGAGGGGCCGTTCGGTAGTTAGGAACCGAACGGACCGGGCTTGTGGAGGTTTCAGCGGTGTTCGCCTAGTCGAGTGTCCGATTTGAGTTCCAGACACTCGACGGCAAAACACCGCTGTTCGGGAGTTTTAAAATGGCCGCCGCCACGTGTTCGTTTGTCGAATGGCGGCCACCCCCGAGAACAAAGGACGGCTACTTAACTTGTCAATTACCCGTTCAATTAATGTTGCAACGGGTGATTGAGGACACACTTAACACAGGGGAGGTCTGATTGTTCGGTAGTTTCATTCCCTTAGTTTATTCGAATGATTCTACCGAACAATCAGAGGAATACATTTCTTTTAAAACCATAGGCGTGCGCACGGGGTGTGCCGGGTGTGCCTGGGCACACCCTAATCCCCGTGCGCACCCCTATGGTTTGAGTCCTGCAGGAACAGCGTTCCTGCACTCTTGAGCAGGAACGCTGTTCCTGCAGGCACTCAGTGCCCCCTGTTTCACCTCTTGCCCCTGTCATGGGAGGGCAAGAGGTGATGATTCCCCCCCCCCCACCCTGCAGCTCAGCGCGCGGCGAGGGAGCTCTCTGCTCTCTGCTCTCTGCTTCCTCTCGCCGCGCGCTGATGCCGGGAGCCGGAATATGACGTCATATTCCGGCTCCCAGCTCCAGCAGACAGCCCGCGCGGCGAGAGGGAGCAGACAGCAGAGAGCTCCCTCGCCGCGCGCTGACCTGCAGAGAGGCGCCCGCCCCCACTGGACCCCAGGGACAAGTCCACCAGCACTCCAGGTAGGAGGCTGGGTGGACATTTAAAAAAAAAAATTTAAATATAATAATTTGTGTGTGTGTGTGTGTGTCAGTGTGTGTGTGAGTATGTGTCAGTGTGTGTGTGTGTCTGTGAGTGTGTGTGTCTGTGAGTGTGAGTGTGTGAGTATGTGTCAGTGTGTGTGTGTGTCTGTGAGTGTGTGTCTGTGTGTGTGTCTGTGTGTGTCAGTGAGTGTGTGAGTATGTGTCTGTGAGTGTGTGTGTGTCAGTGTGTGTCTGTGAGTGTGTGTCTGTGATTGTGTGTAAATGTGTGAGTATGTGTCTGTGAGTGTGTGTGTCAGTGAGTGTGTGAGTATGTGTCAGTGTGTGTGTGTCAGTGAGTGTGTGTGTGTGTGTGTGTCTGTGAGTGTGTGAGTATGTGTGTGTTTCTGTGAGTGTGAGTGTGTGTGTCTGTGAATATATATACGTGTATATATATGTGTGTGTGTATATATATATATGTATATATATATATATATATATACACACACACACGCGCGCGCGCGGCGTGTGTTTGTGCTTTAGGGTGCACACCCTAATGCAATAGGCTGCGCACGCCTATGTTTAAAATACATATAAAACCAACAGTTTACACAAATGCAGCTATTCATATGAAATTTTCAGGACAGCCCAGTGCCATCCGCTACAATGACCTTCTGCAATGTCATTAATAAAAATATTAAAGAGAATGGGTCCAAGTACAGATCCCTGAGGTACCCCACTGTTAAAAAAAAACCATGCTTCGAACATACTCCATCGACTACAACCCTCTGTTGCCTGTCACTTAACCACTGCCTTACCCATTCAACAATATTGTAATCCAAACTTAAAGATTGTGTCAAAAGCCTTACTGAAATCTAGGTAAACAATGTCTACGGCACCACCCTGATCTATTATTTTAGTTACCCAATCAAAAAAATCTATAAGATTAGTTTGGCATGATCTCCCTGAAGTAAACCCATGTTGTCTCTGATCTTGAAATCCATGTGATTTTAGATGTTCAACAATCCTATTCTTTAACATGATTTCCATCACATTCCCCACTACTGAAGTAAGGCTTACTGGCCTATAGTTGCCCAACTCCTCTCTACTACCTTTTCTTGTGAATGGGCACAACATTCACTAACTTCCAATCTTCTGGGACTACTCCTGTTAATAATGATTGGTAAAATAAATCCGTTAATGGTTTTGCTAGTACACCACTAAGTTCTTTTATTAAATTGGGTGTATCCCATCAGGCCCCATTTACTTATTTGTCTTTACTTTTGACAGTTGAAATAGAACCTCTTCCACTGTAAACTCACATGTAACAAATTACTCATTTGTCCTTTTTCTTAACTAAGGTCCCTTTCCTTCATTTTCATCTGTAAATACTGAACAAAAATATTAATTGAGGCAGTCAGCTTGATCTTTATCCTCCTCTACCTACCTTCTTTTGTTTTTAATCTATCTAATCCTTGTTTTATTTTCCTTTTCTTATTCATGTATCTAAAAATGTTTTGTCCCCTTTTTTACTGACTGTGCTATTTTCTCTTCTGTGAGTGATTTGTAAGCTCTTATAACTTGCTTTTCCTCTTTCTGCCTAATCCTATAGATCTGTCTATTTTCCTCACTCTGGGGTTTTTATAATTACTAAATGCTAACTTTTAGTTTTTTACTATTTTGGCCATTTCTGCAGAGTACCACAGTGGTTTCTTAAATTTAAGAATCCCATTTCTCTTAGACTCCATTTAAACTGCTCCAGGCTCCAGTCTGATAATGACTCCTTTACACATATTCTAATTTTAGAAAAGTCTGTTTTTCTTAAGTCTAAATACAGGTCAAGTCCCAGAACCCCCATTTCCATGGACAGTACCCTCACACATTATATGTACATGGATAGCTTATCAACCCAGTTACCCGCTGTCCAAATAGTGCCTGGATCATAGAATCCATGTCCAAGTTATACTGGGCTGCGACCACCATCCAGTCCAGTTAGGAGTTCAAAGAGTTCCGCTGATTTGTACCGGTCCTATTAAAAAGATTTCCTAGAGCCTTATGAAGGGTGGACCGAAGCAATCCGGTCCAGTCTCCACTTACATAACGTTTTCAGCCTTCTCCTGGTTAGTGCTGGGTTATAGATTGGCCAAGGATGGAAATAGGATTATGTAATTCTACTGCAGATAGAGATGGACTTGGACAAAGTGGCAAGTGCACAAATGGTGCAGAAAACAATGAACTGCTGCCGCTCCTCTTCAGACTCTCCTTTTTTAATTCTTCTGTATCATAGTCAGCACAGACTTAAAGGAACACTGTAGGCACCCAGACCACTTCAGCTCATTGAAGTGGTCGGGGTACAGTGTCTCTGTTGCCCTTAGTGTTGCAATGTAAAACATTGCAGTTCCAGAGAAACTAAGTCAGCCTCTAGTGCCACTGTCTACCAGACACCCAGCGTCAGATTTTTTCCCTATAGGAAAACATTAATTCAATGCTTTCCTATGGAGAGGTCTAACGCGCATTAGAAACAGCTTGTCGCGGGATGGAGGAAGAGGAGGAATCGCGACCCAGCACCGAAGGACATCAGCACTGGGATCGAATAAGTAAATATAGGTGTTATACCAATTTATTTACTGGGGAAGGGGGCGTGTGAGGGAGGCAGGGGAGCGAAAGTACCAGGAATACAGCTTTGTATTCCTGCCACTATAGTATTCCTTTAAATAAATGTTTGTAATGGTGGGGGGAAGAGCGAAATCATCATCACCAGATTTCTTACCACCACTACCACCAAGAGCTGACTGTAGCAGAGTAGGAGTAATAACATCAATATCTCCGCTGGTAGACTTAAATAATATCCAAGAGAAGCGTAGTGCGGAAATCCCATCCAAATTCCCCAACAACTGGCCGATACACAGGTTTGGGAGTCAACTGGTTTTTATTGAGCCACAACTAGCTTTTATACAATTCCCCATGCAAGGGGATTCCTTAATTACATTCCAGGGGTTTTCCTCTGGTGGATATTGGTGGGGACAGGGAGCAAAGACACATTTCCCAGACTCATTTTCTGTACTTGGAAGATAATTGCGTAAGGATACTTCTTTAATTAGATTATCTCTCAAGTACAGAAAATTAAACAAAATTTTAAAACAGGAAAAATATAAATACAGAGTCTATGTGTGCAACCTAAATAATAACCAAGTTACTCTAAACACCTGTGTGGTAACCTCTACCTACACAAAAGCAAATAACATATACATACACAGTAGGTGGATATCTATATTTATATTTTTTCTATTTGATTGACTTCATCCTCTCACTGAGTCGAGTGTGTTTAACACTGATAATGGCATTTCTTGAAAATAGAAATTATTGTATCAGTAACATAGATATGTGCTTTATAGGAGGGAAAGATAGTACCCAAACACAAAATTACAGCAACATAGATAAAAGTAAATATAATCCAGAGAACGCACTAATCAAGGAAATGAAAACCAAATGGGAAATAGCAACTTTAAAAAAATATGTAAATGAAAAGATCACACCTAGAGGACCTAGGTTTACAAAAGACTCAACTTCCGATAGAGATGACCCCCATTTCATGACTGGCTAGAACCAAATGTTAGATGGCTTTTCATTCAGTCTTATGGGCTACATAGTAGCTAGGATGGAGGAAAGCCTGCTGAAATTAGATGAAGACATTACATCGTGGAAAGAAAATCTAATTGAAAACACTAGCCCAGAGATCTACAACAACATAGTGAAAGAAATCAAGATGAAAGTAGATAAAATAGAAGACACCATCATAGAGATTAAGAAAAAGAAATATCTCAGGGATGTTAACGACTATAAAACAGGCAATGTAAGAACACATAGTAAAGGAAGGAGGGCACAAGAAAGAAACCCTAATAAAAAGAATAAAGATACATTTGATTATAACTTCCATTCCCACAAATATGTACCCCCACGTGAAAGTAGAACTAGAAACTATGGAGAGACACTGCCAGATAACAGCAGGAGCACCCAACGGGAACGTGACATGGGCACACCAAGAAACCACACATACAGAAGAGATCAAAGAAGCTATAGCGCAGGAGTTAAAGAAGGAACGACGAAAGAATGTACACATAGCAGCAGTACATCCACAACTGAAAACAGAAGGAGAGATTCAGAACCAACAAGAACAGTAAGGAATCACCAGACACGACAAAGATCTGGTTCCTCTCCAATTCCAACATCCTCTTCCTCTTCCTCTTTTTCTCGGAAGGACCCAACCATCAACAGGCTGAGGTGGTCCCAGAAGACACTTCCCAAGAATCCCCCGGAAAGAGACAAAGATCCATAGAGGAGAAAGAAGAAGAAGGAGGAGAGGAGCAAATGTACAGAGAGAAATGGAACAGGAGGCAAACATAGAAGGCATTTTTAATTGGACAGATCAAGCTCTTACTATATAACAGAAAATAATTTTAAATAAAGTTCTTAAGTTCGCACCCACAACCGACTTGAATAAATTTGACTTTTTTGTTGATGTGAATCATTTTATTATATATTTATTGCTCACGGTGCCTAGAGAGATATCAGCTATGCCTCACTGACGATGCCTAACAAGGCTGAAACGATCGTCTGGGGTTGCTGTATCTCTCGTGCAGAGAGAACTTGCTGGCAGTTTGGATCTGAACTGCCCATATGGGTGGGACCAGTCTGATATGCTTCAGATATGTTCTCTCTGTAATGGCACAAGATGAGCTAAAACCAGCTTGAGTTCTGAGCGGGGACCCACCGAAGGGCAGGCTATTTTAGCTGCTGTCCGTCCTCAGAATACTCTTGCGACTCATTTTTTGCTCTCCATTTTATTATAAAGTTATGTTTAAAAAGAAAAATGAGGGGGGCGTGTCCTGGACCTCGACCTGAGCAGTCGCATGCCTTAACTGCTCCGCTTCCCTAAGGCCTAAACTGAGCAATTGGGCTGTTAAAAGCTAAACAAACTGAAGACCATGGCACAAGCAAAGGGCAAGAGGGCATCAGAATGCCAGGAAAAGACCAGCTTTTTTACCTCGAGAGCCAGGCACACGAAACAACTGGCCCAAGCCGAGCCCGACCAAGATGGCGGCGACAATGTGCCGGAGGCGGCCGCCAACTCCCCAGAGGCAGACCAGGGCCTCACCAAAGGAGTAATGCAACAAATGCTCGACGACATGTCAGCAAAGCTCCTGGCGCACCTAGACTCCGCAGTAGGGACTCTCTGTAAAGAGGTGCAGGAGATTGGCGTGAGAACATCCGCCATAGAAGACAACATGGCCGACATGGTTACAACCCAGGCAAGGTTGACAGTATAATGGAGTCTCTGGCGCAACATGACACAAAACTGGCGGACCTCGAACACCGCATTCGGGGAGTGCAGGAATCGGTCACACAAGATGGACTCCAGGCCTTTGCCACAGGCCTCTTCAAATCTCTGGCCCCTGACTTACCCACCGATATCCTCCTCCTCGACCTCATACACAGGATGGCGAAGCCGAAGTTCCTGCCGCCGGAGACCCTGAGAGACGTCCTCCTCCGCATGCATTACTACCATGCAAAGGAAAGTGTGCTCAGGGCCTGCAGAAACAAAGACCCATACAAAGAGCTGGCAGTGTTAATGTGGCAAAACCGACCTCGCCACTGGGCATTGGAGAAGACTGATTGCAAGCCTCCTGCCATGTGACTATGGCCCCTGGGATGTATTGCCCTTTAAAGACATGATTTGGGCATAATGGATTTGTGTTGTGCTGCTGCTGGCCCTTTAAGAACCATCTGGGGACATACTGTGGAGTTACTGGGTGGCCACCATTTCCTGTATCAGAGGCACATGGTGAGAACAATGGATGAAGCACATGGTGAGAACAATGGATGGCGGCCATTTTAACTCACAGACACTGTTTGGACTTTTCTACACGGTGCCATCTCGCCGGTATTTGGTGCACAAAGACATCGTGCAGTAGTTTTAAACTATACAACAGACAACAGGGGATACATTATACAGTAATTATTTTTCATATAGCTTGTATATGTTCTGCAGAATCTGCATTAAACAGTATCTTCCAAACTACTGAACGGATATGGGGTTATTGCATGTTTTGGGGTCCCTGTGATATGTTTTATAATACTGTATTTCTCTGCCTGTGATAATTATATTAACCATTGTGTTCAGTAATCATATCACAGGCAGAGGGGAGGATTTTGTGTGGGAGTGTCTGTGTGTATTGTACGGATTGATTGGTTGTATTTCAAAACCCTGTGGGCTGTACTATGTTTGTGGATTATGAATGAAAGAGGCTGTATGTGCCAGTACAGTCAGTTTTGCTTGACCTCAAAACGAAGTGTCATCTCCTTATTGGGGGAATTGGATTGTATGCTGATTGCCAGGAGTGTAAGCTGATTGTATGCTTTTCCTGTTCAGCTGCTTACAGCATTCATATGCTTGAGAGCATTCTTATGCTTCTCCGGTTCGGTGGTTGTGGTGTCTGCTGCAGTGATTGGAGTCCTCAGGAAGCGCTAGGAGCATCCTTCAATGGAGGTACCCAGTCGGGGTGCTCCATAACAGCGGATATCTCAGCCTCTACCTTACAAAAGAGAAGAACCTTCAGAGGGATCACTGAACAACTGAGAGCTCACCAGGTCAGCTACAAGTGGGGATACCCCATCAAATTGATCATCACAAGAAGCGGCAAGACAACAGTCCTGGAAACACCAGAAGACTGCGCCCGCACACTACAGACCCGGAGTATAAATGTGCCACAGCCGACGGACCAAACAACGGGGCCGAAGAGACTCCAGCAGGATTGGCGGAGGGTCCGGAGACACCAGGGAAAGGCGCAGGGGTCTTCTTCAACTCTGGCGTAGACCAAGCACAGCAAGTATCAAGCCCTTCACCACACACACACAACCCCACACAAACTGTAATATGCCACCTGTACCTTGAAAGCCCACCAAGACAGCGGGTGCTTGCCAAAGGCTACCTCGTCCCATACCGATACCATGGGCTCCATTGGCAAGGGCCACAGGGACTGACTGCCGCTATATCACCTAGCCACTTCCCAGTAATAGAGCCTCCTCGCAGGGGCCCGGCTGAACCCCTGCTCACCCCTTATCTACAACAGAACCTCCTGAGGGAGACCACCAAAGGGGATTGCCACTGATACGAGACATCGGAGCAGCATGACTGGATTGGCCGGGGCGGCCAAGTTGCGCCGGCTGCACATTCTGGGACTAAACTTACCGAACCAAATACCCCAAGATATTAGCTGGGGCTGGGTGGTAGATACTCGCCCCCTTGGTTGCTGGGGGTAGAGGGCAGGGCAGACCAAACAACAAGCAGCCGGGGAGGGGAAGGGGCAAGATGCAATGCAATATATGTTGGAGGCAGAGAGGTGTATAAATTGTTTAACATATAATATACGACAGGGTTGACATATTAAGGTATGATGAGTGTGGAACCAATACAGGCTGACATTATGACCAGCCCCACCCCAACATGACATCCAAGATGTGCGTACAACGTCAGGGAGCCCACAATACCCAATAACCAAAGCTATCATTATTACTCTTATTAATATAAAAAAAAAAAAAGCATTACCTAGCCCCCTCAGTCCTTGGTAAAGAGGGATATGAGCCTCAATCACTACTTAACCACATTACATGAGGCCATGCAGGGAAGACGCTCAATCAGGGGCGGACTGACAACTTACAGGGCCCTCGGGCAATGGGAGACCAAGGGCCCCCTTCTGGTGCAATGTTTTTTAGATACTGCTACTTTTCTCCCCCTTCTTTGTGTGGCTCTCAAACAGATATTATATGCTTGCTGCCCTGCACCCATAATGGCTGTGAGAACCACACAGTCATGACTCCCACAAGGTTTTGCTTTTAAGAGGTTAATCCAACCAAAAACAGTGTTTTAATAAAACACTGTTTTTGAAAAGAGTAACCCTGACTGGCATGCTTCGCCCCCCTATTCCCACTAAAATAAACAAATAAAGCCAATATAATAATTATACGCTTTCTCTGTGTTTGCTGGTGACATCACAAGCAGTGTCCCCCACATTTGTTTTCAATCATACAAGTCCATGTAAGTATCCTCCAAACATGTGTTTGTAGGCTACTTGTGATGTTCAGTGTGTGGGATGCTGCTTGTGATGTTGGGTTCCTGTATGTCAACGTGTTGTGTTAGAATTGTTTGTCTTCTTTTACCTATTGTACTGCGCTGCAGAATATGTTGGTGCTATATAAATGGTTTTAAAAATTGCATGTGTGTGGTTTTCCATGTGTGGGGATGTTGCTTGTTGGACTGTGTGCATACAGTAAGGCTTCTGGTGGGTTTACGTATGTGTATGAGGCTGTTTGCAGTGTAGTATGTGGGTGGAAATGGCTAGTTGTGTTGCAGTGTGTGTGATAGGTTGTAGTAGGTGTCTGGGGGATACTGGGGCTGTAGTTTGTGTTTGTATGAATAATAGAGGCTCAACTGTGTAGGGGATATGAAGGCTGCAGTTTGTTTGTGTGGCTAGTGGCTGCAGTGTGTGGGATATGGGCTGTAGTAGGTGCAGAGGTGTATAGGGACTTTAGTAGCTGCATGGGGGTATAGTGGCAGAGGTGGTTGCTGGGGGAGATGGGAGCTGAGTGGAAGAGGGTGGGTGCTGTGGGAGATGGGGCTGAGGTAGGTGCTGGGAGAGATGGGGCTGAGGTGGGTGCTGGAGGTGAAGGGTGGGGCTGGGGAGATGAGGGCTGAGGAGGGTGGAGGGGGCATGGGGCTGATGTCCGTGTTGAGCGAGATAGGGACTGAGGTGAGTGAAGGGGGAGATGGGTGCTGAGGTGGGTGGAGGGGAGCATGGCGCTAAGATGGGAGCTGGGGGAGAAGGGGACTTAGGTGGGGTGGGTGCAGGGGTCATAGGGCTGGGTGGGTGCTGAGGGAGAGAGGGACTGAGCTAAGTGAAGGGGTGATGGGTGCTGAGGTTGGTGTAGGGGGCATGGGGCTGAGGTGGGTGAAAGGGAGATGGGTGCTGGGGAAATGGGTGCTGAGGTAGGTGTAGGGGGCATGGGGCTGAGGTGGGTGAAAGGGAGATGGGTGCTGGGGAGATGGGTGCTGGGGTGGGTGGAGGAGGCTGATGGTGCTGGGGAGATGGGTGCTGGGAAAGGGAGATTGGTGCTGGGGAGATGTGGGCTGAGGTGGGTGAAAGGGAGATGGGTGCTGGGGAGATGGGTGCTGGGGTGGGTGGAGGAGGCTGAGGTGGGTGAAAGGGAGATTGGTGCTGGGGAGATGGGTGCTGGGGAGATGGGTGCTGGGGAGATGGGTGCTGGGGTGGGTGGAGGAGGCATGGTGCGGAGGTTGAGGTAGGATTGCATGGGGGGTTTACAGACCTGCTGTTCCTGTCAGGCTGCTCCTCAGCTTCAGCTGCTCAGCAGATTCAGGAGGAGAGGAGGAGTTCTGGAAGTGATGTCATTCCCCTCTCCTAGGCCCCGCCCCCTCCCCCCTCACACAGAGCTCCGCACAGAGAGGTTGGAGGTGACCTGGCAGCAGCAGGATTGCCGCCAGGTCTCACTCAGTAGGTGAGAGTACACATCGGGGCAACAAATCCTGTGTAACTGTGCCTCTCTGCCTGGGGAGATCTCTGATCTGATCTCCCCAGCCAGAGTGAGTGCATGGCTGTTTAGCCGGCCGGGCCCCTGACTGCCTCGGGCCCTCGGTCATTGACCGATCTGCCCGAGTGGTCAGTCCGCCCCTGCGCTCAATCCAGGAAGAAGCCATGAGCTTCTACCCCCACAACGCTGTATATCGGTGTCCAGCCATTCGTTTGGCATTTTGTCCCCTTGTTCACTCCCAGTTTCAGTCTCCTCCCCATACCCAACACCAAAGAAGTTTACGCACATATATCCAGAGAGGCTCTTATGCGAATCCCCTCCCCCATCCCCTGAGGATCGACATTGCCTGGGTGACCTCCATAAGAAGCCACGGGAGACAATAGCACAAGTGGGCGTTTTACCCACTACCACCACCAAACTCTACTGCCTGTTGGAGCAATATGCCAGTCTGACGCGGGAGACTGAGTTCTGCTCAAAAGAGCTGGGAAGAACAGGTCCCGAACCAATAGAGACCCAATGACATTCTTTCTATCATACTAACCCCACCTTTGACCCCCCATGAAAGTTTGCACCCTTAATGTTAGAGGTCTAAATATCCCAGTCAAGAGACCTGATGGGCCGGGAACTAAAATCTCTGGGGGCAGATGTGGTGTGCCTGTAGAAAACACACAATAGGACTGACGACCACGTTCACAGCTGGCTAACTGACTACCCTTCACAATACCACGCCACTTCCCCCACTAAGTCTAAGGGAACCTCAATACTCATAAGTAAACATGCCGCCTTCACCCTGCACAAGGAAACTGACCCAAACGGCAGATATGTGATAATTGTCGGACTGATGAATAGCGTCCAATACACTATAACGAACGGATATGCCCCAAACACGAACCAGAAGTCATTCTTACACACTGTACTAAACAAGGTAGTGGCAATCTAACAGGGCATCACTATAATCACTGGGGACTTCAATGCAATATTTGATCCCCAAACAGACACAACCTTACCCCCGCACAGAGCTAGCTACCGCCCGCTGCAGAGACAATGTAGAGGCCTCCAAACACTACTTAACACACACAATTACTACGACATATGGAGACTTACTCATACTAATACGCGCCTATACACACTTTTCGGCAATTCATAACTCCTACTCTAGGATAGATGGGTTCCTCCTCATGGGACAAGCACTGGACCAGGTGGACAGATGCGAGATAGGGCAGATCACCTGGTCGGACCATGCACCGGTTACCTTGGAGCTAAAAGACCAGCTCACTGCTGACAGACACCACATTCACACACGAGCTGCGCGAAGCGATGGGACAGTACTTTAAAGAAAACGACTCCCCAGACATAATGAAGGGCACACTCTGGGTAGCACACAAACCAGTGATCAGGGGCCTCTTAATACAGAGGGCATCATACCTGCGTAGAAAGGCGCAAACACAACTATGGCAGGGGCAACAAGAACTGTTTCGCCTGAATGCCCAAAATCAAAGGCTCTAGGCTCATACACCAACAAGTCGTGGACAAGATGGGGTATGTCCTAAAATGGTTCAAAGTGACACAATATGCCCAAGGCAATAGGGCCAGCAGGCTACTAGCGCAGAGACTTAAAACACAACAGGCCAAAAATAAAATAGCTTACATACACTCAAAGGAAGTGGCAAAGCTCAGGAACCCTATAGACATTAGTAACGCCTTTGCACGTTACTATGCGGACCTCTACAACCTGGGGAGAGACCCCAACATGCACCACCCCACACAAAAAGACATTGACACCCACCTCCCCAGACTAAACACGGAACAGATACACGCCCTAACAGCCCCGATCACATTGGGGGAGGTACTGAAAGCTATCGACACACTGCCATCAGGAAAAGCACCAGGCCCCGACGGCTTTGACAATACTTACTACAATACTTTCAAACAAACCCTAGCACCACAACTGATGGAGATGCTCACAGAAGCCATAGCCGTACGGAACCTGCCAAAGGAAATCCTCCTAGCGCATGTGGTGACCCTCCCTAAACCCGGGAAACCACCGACTCTCCCACAAAACTTTAGACCCATTTCCCTGTTGAACACAGATGTAAAGATCCTTGCCAAAGTCCTTGCACTCAGATTGGGAATCATATTACCCTCCATCATACATAATGACAAGGTGGGGTTCGTAGTGGGACGACAGGGCTCCGAAAATACGGGAAAAGTGATAGCCTGCGTAAGGGCTGCACCAGAGAGGGGGCCTTGATCCTCTCCTTGGATGCGGAGAAGGCCTTTGACCGTCTCCACTGGTCCTTCCTGGAGGCGGTCATGGCCAGATTCGGCATACCAGCCGGGTTTACTTCCACGGTCCAGGCCATGTACAGCTCCCCAGCCTAACTCAGGTTTCATATCGGACCCCTCCTCGATAACAAATGGGACCAGACAAGGCCCTGGAGCCGCTGGTAACTTGCATCCGTCACAACACGTCCATCCACGGGGTGCAGATAGGAGAACGTGAATATAAAACTAACCTATTCACAGATGATATCTTAGTAACCATGACACAACCACGCATATCGCTACCCAACCTACTCCAGGAGATCGCCTCCTATGGACAGGCTATGGGGATAGACATACCAGGAGAGATGGTCAGGTCTCTCCAAGGTGCCTTTGACTTGGACTGGAGGACTGACTATGTCACATTTTTGGGCTTAAAAATACCAAAAAACCTGGGGGCTCTGTTTAAACTCAACTACGAAAGCCTACAGCGGGAAATTACACAAACACTCCAGTGATGGGAGGGAAAATACTTGTCCTGGGTGGGAAGAATAGCGGCAGTGAAGATGTCCCTGCTCCCCAAATTACAATACCTCTTTCACACATTACAGATACAAGTGCCCGCAAAATACCTTAGCTCACTTCAAAGAGACATAGTACGCTTTGTGTGGGCAAGACGTAGAATCCGAGTGGCCACCAGACTGCTCCACAAACCAGTGGAACACTGGGGACTAGGACTACCTGACCTTAAACTGTACTATAGAGCAGCACTGTTGTCCTCGGCTATAACGACACATACACAACACAACCCCCCACAATGGATTGGGATAGAATCACACTGGACGAGGAAAGAGGGACTACGATACCTACACTGGATCCCCCCTCAGGTCCGACCCCCCACACCAGAGATACTACCCACTACAGCCTTACTCCTGAAAACATGGGACGCTGCCGCCGCAAGCATATGCTCCACAACACCTTGGTCACTGGCCACCCCGATATACAGCATCCACATGTCCAACCCCTCCTTTGACCATAGAGTGTGGCAACTTCAGGGTTGCACGCATTCAAATCATCTTTTTTCCAAAGGCAAAATGCTAGCATTCCCAGAGCTGCAGGACAAATACAATCTTCCCCAGAGAGCGCTGTTTTCCTACTTGCAGCTCAAGTCCCTCCTGGGCTCATTGATTCCCCCCACACAACCACCACCCACCTTAACTTGGGTAGAAGAAATATGCAGGGCTGAAAAGAACCCCAGGAGAACTTTCTCTAAACCATCACCTGCTCAACGCAGGAACAGGGGATACAATGGACAAACACGTCCTGGCATGGCACGCAGACCTACACACTAGATACACTAGGGATGACTGGCGCAAGGCCTATGTAGCACATAAAGGCAAAACTGCATGCGTGACACATTTGGAACAAATGAGAAAAATACAATACAGGTGGTATATGGTGCCAGATAGGCTGGCAAAAATCTACCCCACCACCTCAGCCAGATGCTGGAGGTGTCTTACTGATCGGGGGACAATGTTTCACATTTGGTGGACCTGCCTACGCATCCAAGTATACTGGAAAGCGGTTGAAGAGATTATCTCTAAAATTCTAGACACACAGTTCACGCTCCTACCGGAACTAGGTCTTTTATTCCTAACATTGGACCAGTTCGGTAGAGAGAGTGGGTTACTGATCTTCCACATACTGATCTCAACATTGACGACTATAGCATGGGAATGGAAGTCCACTAGGGCCCCAAACATACAAACTCTGATACAACAAGTTACGACCAACTTGGACTATGACAATGTGTAAGAGTGTTTTATTGTTCCCCTTTATTTCCCCCCCGTTCCCTTTTGTATCCAACCTGAAATATATACTCGCACCCCCACTAGGGGTCAAATTGTGGAAAAATATATACAAATACGGAAACATGAAGAAAATAAAAATAATAAAAATTGTCAAATTGATAAAAAGAAAAATGAGCCAATAACATCAGAGCAGAATGAAGAATACATACATTCATATATTTTTCCACAATTTGAGTTAAGAGAAAGATCCACTTTCTTTCCCAAACACATGATCTTGGATCAAATGAAAGCTTTTGAGATCATGGTCATGAAAGAGGTAGATAAAATTAAGAAGGTAAATAGCTATCAGCACAACCTATCAAACATAGAAAAGAAAACATAAAAGTACATGAGAAAAGATAGAGAGGCAGAAAGACTTCTCTCAGACCCGCATACTTACCAACCACTACCAGCTAATCCCATGGGAAAGATACAAGAGAAATTTGAGAAATTTATAACAAAAGGAAAGGAACTACAGATTATAAATGAAAAAGAAGCCCAACATTTATCTATTACCAACCCACGAATACCTGTTTTTTACCACCTACCAAAGGTACATAAAGACATAAATAACCCACCAGGCAGACCCATAATATCAGGCATAGACTCGATATCAACTAAGGTATCAGAATACATAGACGTCATGCTACAACCTTTGGTAGTGAAAAATCCATATTATCTGAAAGACACTATACATATGCTACAGGTATTTGAACAGACACAATGGCAGGAAGGCTACACTTTGGTCACTTGTGACATTAGTTCGTTATACAGTATCATTCCCCATAAAAAAAAGCCTTGAATCAGTAAAATATTTTTTAGAGAAATCATCTTTTAAGAAAGAGCAAACCGATTTTATATTGGAGGGGATTTTACTTATCTTAACCAACAATTTCTTTTGGTTTCAAGATCAATTTTATCTGCAAGTCTGCAGTACAGCGATGGGCACCAAGTTTGCCCCAGCTACTCCAATCTTTTTATGGCATACTGGGAAGAACATTTTATTTCCAGGGGCCATGGCTGGACGGCAAACTTGGTGTCGTACCGCAGGTATATAGATGATATATTTTTTATTTGGACTGGAAACAAACATGAATTGATTGACTTCCTACAGTTCCTCAACAATAACGATTGGGGTATTAAAGGACTACTATAGTATCAGGAAAACAAACTCATTTTCCTGGCACTATAGGGTCTTTGGGTCCCCCCCACCCTCAGGGTCCCACTCCCGATGGGCTGAAGGGGGAGGAAGGGGTTAAATTCTTACCTTTCTCCAGTGCCGGGCTCCCTCGGTGCTGGGGACTCTCCTCCCTCTTCTGACGTCATTCGCTCAATGTGCATGCGCGGAAAGAGCCACACACGCATTCAGTCAGTCCAAAGGAAAGCATTTCTCAATGCTTTCCTATGGACGCTGGCGTCTTCTCACTGTGAAAATCACAGTGAGAAGCGCGGAAGCGCCTCTAGCGGCTGTCAATGAGACAGCCACTAGAGGCTGGATTAACCTAATGTAAACATAGCAGTTTCTCTGAAACTGCTATGTTTACAGCTGCAGGGTTAACCCTAAATGGAAGAAAAAAAGGGGGTCAAGGGCTGCGCTTGAATAGGGAGATAAAAAAGTGAATAAGTGAATAAAATCGTATTTTGATAAAATAAACAGTGATAATAAAATCAAGTAAAGTTCATCCGGATTTGTAAAAAGTATAAATAAAAACAGTCTCACTGGTATGCAGTAACACGATAATAATCCTCAAGTATGGCTCCGTCCGTGTAGTAGGTAGTCCATACATGTGAAGATAAAAGACAAAAGAAAAAGCTGCCAATGGTGAAATATTGTATATCCTGATGTTGTATATATTCAAAGGAAATATATTTCACTCACATTTGGTGGAGCTTTTGCCAGCTCTGGGAGAAGAGGCACTAAGTGGTTTGATCCCCACTAACGGATATGCTTGGATGGTCCTTCTATCCGGCTCGGAGTTCCTGTGGTGTCGGCTAGGATCTACTTCAGATGTGCGTTAATTCCTTAATGCTTGGAAGATAGGTCCGCCTTTCCGATATCGGATAATAGGTGTCCACGGAGTATATATGAAACAGCAAATAGTGCTCTCAGTATGAACAACAAAGTAATATCTTTAAGTGAGTTATACTTACAAGAATAGAGCAGACAGGTACTGCTCTATTGCCACAGCTCTGGTGGAATTATCCCCACCTAAGGATTTCTTTGGACGGAATATACTTTCAAGTTAAAAAATAAAATAAAATTAAAAATAAAAATAAAAATGGGATGGGTAAAACTATAAAATAGTATGAGATGATACAATATATATATATATATATATATATATATATATATAAAAATGCCAGGAGTAAAAGAAAGTGTATAAAATACAATAAAAATAAGTTTACAATTGGTCCTAGTATAAAAAGTAACCAAAAGAACTTTTATTGATTAAAATACACTTATTAAAACCATTTACGCGTTTCACCTTTGGGGTTTTCTCAAAATGGTAAAAGAACAGTACACCTGGCAAGGAACTGAATATATAAGTTTACAGAAATTGAATTTGGCGCCAAAAAATTTTGTGCACCAATCACAAACAAGTATTAAAGCCAAACTTTATATACATTTCAAAGTAACATTACAACCTTATAGGTATATTCATATGAGCCTTAATAGGCTTAAAAAGTTAAAATTTTATGAAAACAAAGCTTTAAAAAGAATTTAAAAAGGAGTTTCATTACTATTAATCCCGATCACGTGACACATCTCAAAGTAATATAAAAACCATATAGATGCCTTTGTTATCGCCTTGTAAAGCTCAAGGGATAAGAATTTATTTAAAACGAAGCTTTTAGAAAGATTAAATTGTATTTTGTTCCGATCACGTGATCGGAACGCGGCGCGCATGCGCAAATCAATTAATGGGCGAAAACACTTCCTGGTATACACGGAGTGCCCAGTGGCCGGCTAGAAACACAATGCTCTATGGGAAATAGAGTCCTGCCGGCCACTGGGCGCTCCTATAATGGGATACATACTTCAGATCATATTTATGAAGGAAAAAGAGCACTTTTAAATATAAAAGAACATTTTTAGATATAAAAACATTTGTTAAACTGCCCCACAAAAAGATTAAATTGTATTTTGTTCCGATCACGTGATCGGAACGCGGCGCGCATGCGCAAATCAATTAATGGGCGAAAACACTTCCTGGTATACACGGAGTGCCCAGTGGCCGGCTAGAAACACAATGCTCTATGGGAAATAGAGTCCTGCCGGCCACTGGGCGCTCCTATAATGGGATACATACTTCAGATCATATTTATGAAGGAAAAAGAGCACTTTTAAATATAAAAGAACATTTTTAGATATAAAAACATTTGTTAAACTGCCCCACAAATTTATACATAAGGATAAATATAAAAGTAATAGCTGAGAATGATGATGCAGATATTATTAAAAAATAGGAGGATAATCTTCTAAGTAAAACATAATATTATTGCAAATATAAGGTTAAAATTGAAACATTAATGCAGAATTCGATTTGCACAATTTTTTATGATATGTCTAATTACTAACATTCCTATTTTTAACTTTTTAGTTTAATTTTATGTTTCAATTTTAACCTTATATTTGCAATAATATTATGTTTTACTTAGAAGATTATCCTCCTATTTTTTAATAATATCTGCATCATCATTCTCAGCTATTACTTTTATATTTATCCTTATGTATAAATTTGTGGGGCAGTTTAACAAATGTTTTTATATCTAAAAATGTTCTTTTATATTTAAAAGTGCTCTTTTTCCTTCATAAATATGATCTGAAGTATGTATCCCATTATAGGAGCGCCCAGTGGCCGGCAGGACTCTATTTCCCATAGAGCATTGTGTTTCTAGCCGGCCACTGGGCACTCCGTGTATACCAGGAAGTGTTTTCGCCCATTAATTGATTTGCGCATGCGCGCCGCGTTCCGATCACTTGATCGGAACAAAATACAATTTAATCTTTCTAAAAGCTTCGTTTTAAATAAATTCTTATCCCTTGAGCTTTACTAGGCGATAACAAAGGCATCTATATGGTTTTTATATTACTTTGAGATGTGTCACGTGATCGGGATTAATAGTAATGAAACTCCTTTTTAAATTCTTTTTAAAGCTTTGTTTTCATAAAATTTTTACTTTTTAAGCCTATTAAGGCTCATATGAATATACCTATAAGGTTGTAATGTTACTTTGAAATGTATATAAAGTTTGGCTTTAATACTTGTTTGTGATTGGTGCACAAAAAATTTTGGCGCCAAATTCAATTTCTGTAAACTTATATATTCAGTTCCTTGCCAGGTGTACTGTTCTTTTACCATTTTGAGAAAACCCCAAAGGTGAAACGCGTAAATGGTTTTAATAAGTGTATTTTAATCAATAAAAGTTTTTTTGGTTACTTTTTATACTAAGACCAATTGTAAACTTATTTTTATTGTATTTTATACACTTTCTTTTAC